CCTGACATTTAGTCATTCCGCTGCGATAAATTAACTTCCAGCTCTTAAGCTTGCCTGACAAACAAAAATACACGTGTGTGTGTATATAGGGTATACAGCAATCCATTTGGCAGAGACCTACATTTTTGTGATAAGTTTAAGCATGTTTTTTTTTACTCTAGAAAGTATTACAGTCACCCAACACATTTTTAAAGAGGGTTCTACTTTTAATAAAAACCCACACGCATACGGCAAGATAGCTTTCACAATTCTGTTCGAGTGGGCCAGCAACCTGCTTGCTGCACTGCCATCTGCTGGGACGTCACTTTCCCCCGTACTGGTTTGAAAAGCGTTGGTGCAGTGATTCGTGCGCTTGCTGTGATCCTGGCAGCTTGCGTTTAAGTCCCCCACTCTTGCACAATGCCAGTGGCCAAAAATTGCATCGTAAAATGTTCCGGTTCACAGATCGACTTGGCCATACTTGAGTACGTGGTATGGTATTTGATCCCAAGTGCTGGAGGGAAAAAAAAGGTGGCCAGGCATAACGCTGTGCCCCCCCCACCCTCTCCTTGTACACGACCCTTGGCGGTGTGCCCCAATAGAATTTGCTCTGACATTCTAACCTGGGATCTTAGAGAGAGAGTGTGTGTGTGTGTGTTTACTCCCCAGTGTCAACATCTCCAGCTCTTGAGACTCTAGAGGGACTAATGTACGTGTGCCCCCCCCCACCCCCAAGGACCTCTTATCTCAAAGAGGAGGTCTTGGTTTGCCTGACGTGTTTGGGGAGAAGAGGAGAAAGGAAGGGAGTTTGCTGTTAAATAGTTTTTATTTTCAGATTAGGTGGATTTTCATCGTTTTGTTTGATTGTTCGGTATACATGGCAGTGTTGAGTCTCTGAAGCGTCGATGCATTATTTAGTTTCTTCACTAAATTACTATGCGGTGCAGATTAGAATTAATATTTGTATATGAATACATAAAGTATATTAGGCCCAGGTGGCACTGTATTAGAGCGTGTGGACTCTCCACCAGAAGTTTTCTCATTCTCGTGGGGGGGAAGGGGGTTGACTCAGCCTGTCATTCCCCCACGGGCAATCAAATTAGAAACACTGTGGGTGAATCCATGAGTGGTTGTCTTACTGAGAGACTGGACCCCCGCCATAGCAACGTGGAATTTCCACCACTTGCAGAGGACTCTTGCAGCACGTGTGTTCACCATCTAGCGGTCATTTGAGCCGCGAGTCGGTAATTTTTTGTGCGTTGTGTGTTGTCTTGCATCTGAGAGCTGAGAGGCGTCTAGGGGGGAATGCCAATGGTCCATGGGCACGATGTCTTGCACGTATGTAGCAAACTGTTTTCGTGGCTATTGTGAACGAGGGAGAAGTTCTGAGCCCAAGTTGGCATTTTTCCGTTACTGCCAACGTTCAAAGAGGGAAAAAACCCTTGTTTTTTTGGTTGAATAAACGGTTCGGTTCAACATTGTATCAATTAGCTTTGTCCTTTACGTCACATAAAAGGAGACGCTGTTTTGGGTTTTGATGTAAATGTGTGACCCGCGACACCCACAAGTAGTAGTAAATTGTGCAACTTGAGTCGTGTGAATGAACCAAGTGCGAGTCTTCAGTGCCGTCAGCGTTGTTCCCTCGAAGCCTTCCCAATCAGGCTTGCCGTTGATCACAGCGATATTGTTTTTAAAATGCCACGAGGCTAAATATGATTTAACCCTGGAGTGAGGAAGACCACGGACAGACCGTGGCAGGTATGGATGGAAATGTTTTGAGTGCGGCGTTTTGACATTCTGTTTAAGTGCCGTCTGCCTAAACGGACAGAGACGTTATCAATGACTCTTGAAGTCGCCTTCCTGCCCTCCAAGCGGTGATTTTAAGCATTTCCTATTGGTGGGTGCGAGTTCACAAGGTAACTCCGTACAGGCACACACGGGGGCGGGCGGCGGCGGGGGGGGGATCATGCAAATAATTACCTTTGCCACTTCAGTGTGGTCATTGTGCTGCCCTCGCAGTAAGCCGTGGTCTGGCTGCGCTCGCTCAGAGAGACATCGCTGGGGGGGGGGGTTTAAAAAAAGAATGTACTGCACTTTCACCACGTGGCTCTGAGGGCTCCACGATGGCCGTGTCGGAACACTGAGCCAGCGTTGCCGAGCCCAGTGGGTTTGAATGGCGATTTTGAGCCACCTGATGCGGTTACGGCAGATTCCCGAGTGCGTGCGGTTGGATTTTCTTCAGTCTTGGCTACTAATGACTGCACGATTTAAAGCACCAAGCAATATTAAGGCGATGTATGCACATCGGACTTCTATCACGACATACGTTGCCAACCGTTTTGATCGGAGGTGCTTTTTTAGGTTTGTTGATGCAATCTGGTACTAAGGTTTGTCGACTACTGGACTTGTGTTCAAGAGAGATTTACAGCTCATCGGATTCCTCCAGTATAAATAAAGATTCTGATTTGTTCCGGCCAGGCTTGAAGGCCAGCATCTTTCTGGCGATTAACGTGTGGCGAGGATCCCCCCTTTGCAGAGTAGCAGCAGCAGCAGTGCCATCGCGTGGCGGGTGAGAAGGAGCTATTGAGTTAACTTGGCAAAACCCATCTGTGGCCTCCCAGTTTCTCGAGCCGTTCGGCCGAAGCGCTCTGCTGACCGCAGGGGGTTCGAGAACGACGTTTCCTCACCGAATTCTGCATCACCGACGGCGTGGTTACGAACACAAACGCGACGCAGTATTTATTTTCTAGGACGGATATGGGTTTTGCGCGCACACCATCTTTTGGAGTCGTTTTCCCAGTTTCCTCCGCAGTGCGAGTCGATTTGTTACCCGCAGGAAGGCGTTTTGCCACCCCCTAGTGACCGATAGAAGCAAACGGCGTGAAAACGATTGTCTCCAAATTAGCCATGACGGTTCGGGGGGATCGGCGCCCTGTGCCCCTCCACAAGCGTCTTCGTGCGCCCGTGACGGCGATGCCACATTAACAGCGATGCTGATGACGACGACAACGCCTTTGTAGGTTGAGGGGTGTGGGGAGATGCTCATGAAGGGTACGGAAAGGGGGGGTCCGGGCCCAGGAGACCGAATGGCGAAGTTTCACGTATGGGGTTTGTCGCGTGCACGCTGGGTATCGAGCTGCCTCAAAACAGTTGTGGGTGTTTTGGATGATGCCACACGATTCTTAAGTCTCGGTCTGCGAGCCGTATCTCAAAGCAATCTGCGGACGGGAGTATTCTCTTTATTTCTGGGAGCCCACTCTCGTCTTGTTTGCTTTGTTTGAACGTCATTGCTATTTCTCCACGTTTTGGGTTTGGTCGCGGCCATTCAATAACTTTCTTTAATTTCAAATTTGTACTCATTTGGTGTGTGATGTCCTTGTATAACCAGGTTTCCCCTGAAAATGTGTTTAGTATCAGTGGGTTCTCACCTTGATTTAACATTTCAATTCTGTGTTTGTATATACTGTACTTGTGATGTTATTGTTTGCCTCCTTGGTCTTATAATGAACTTACCGTTAACATATTATTGAAAGTAATTTTAATTGGCTCAAACCAACAAGAGGCTCGGCTTAAAGTTCTCCTCTGCTGAAACGAGCAATCTGGTTGGTGGCACTGAAACCAGTGGTGGAAACTCCACATTCCTATGACGGGGGAATATATCCGCTCAATAAGACTTTCCTACCGTGTAGGATTGAATTATTTCAAAAACTCGGGTGGTACTTTGAGATTTGAGCAGAGCAAAGGAAATTGCAAAAAGTTTAGAAATAAATATAATGAGATTTGGAACCGTGCCAAATAAATCATGGTTCATGAAATGCAATAAGAGTTCCTCTCTTTTGATGGTCTGAAAGTGCATTAGGTCTCTGTAAAGCCTTGTACGCTGCAACCGTTTTAATAAGCATTGTACTTTGTTTAAGAATTTATGAGAAATGAGCCTGCTCAATTGGAATCTTCTCTGGCTGCAGATTAAAGTCCATCAATATTTTAGTGCGCCGAGTAAAAATCCAGCAGAGAAAGTTTTGCTTGTTTTATTAATGCTGCACATGCACGGCCCCGATGTGCAGTTAACGCAAGGAGAGAGAGAGAGAGAGAGACTTTCTTTGAAGGGCATATTCCTCATTGCTGCTGCTGCTACTACAGCGGGCCCTGTACTTAATAAGCGCTGCCGATATGGAACACGCGCACGGCAAGGTCCTGGCGTCGGATCTCTGCGTGGGCACAAAGGTTATTTTGCACAACGAGTGAGACTGCAAGAAAGTATTACAGAAGAGTTAATCACGCGTCTTGCGGTGCTGCGATTTAGGGCACCATTTTCATCGTGGAGGGGGGGGTGGAGAGGAGATCTAATATTTCCTGCTCAAATGAGCCACTGTGACGACGTGTCGAGTCTCCTCTTCACATTACGCAATCATGTGGCGGGGGTGAATCCGTTCACCGCAGAGTGGTACTCGTTTGATCGATCCCAGTTTTTTTGATATTCATTGTCCCATCGGCGACGTCGGGCTTGCTTGAACCAATGCTGGTGAACTGCCGGATGTTTGTAGGCAAGGACCCTCTATATTAGAGATCAGCCCTTGCTATTAAAGGTCTGAGCTTGAAGAGCCCTTTCTTGTGTTGTTGTTGATAATGATGGTGGCGGTGTACGTTTGTGTGTCTTTGTGTGCTGGAAGTGCAGTGATTCGCGCATTGCTACGAACTCGGCGATCCGATTCCCGCTCACGGCCAACACGAGTGACTCGGCCTCAATTGAGTACCTGGTGCGATTGTGTGGACATCGCCACTCGGGGAGACAAAGGGGGTCGGGCGTGGTGTTGGCCACCCCACCCCCTTCGCGTACCGTGCGCTCACTAACAGCGCTTTCCCCAACAGTCTGTTAAAGCTATACTGGGGGGATCTTTGTTTCTATGTTGATCTTCTTTCGCACCATATGTAGCCAAGCATGCTAATCGGCGGTGCGTGTGTGTGTGTGTGTGCCGTCTTCCCCCCCCCACTTCTGTCGTCGTCCCTGCGCCCTCCGACAGGGCCATGTGGGCACAACGGCGACCAAGCGGATCGACGTGTACCTGCCGGGCGCCAACCCGGAGCACGCCCACGCCATGCACGTCGTCGTCATGGCCAACGCGCGCGTCGGGGACCTCATCGGCCTCACGTGCTGGCAGTACACCAACGAGGGCCGCGAACCCAAGCTCAAGTAATGAGCCCCCGTCGCCTGCGCGCACACAGCCCCCCCCACCTCCTCCAAACACCTACGGCCACCACGTATTAACTCTCCACGGTGGCGAGATGTTAACTACCTCGCCTGGTGTACAGGAGGTTGTGGGTTCGATCCCAACCCTGACTATGCCTGCTGTATATTTGGAGTTTGCATGTCTCTCTCTCCCTGTGGTCGCGTGGATTTTTCTCCGGGTCTTCCCGTTTTTCTCTCCACATTTTAGAATCATGCGTTTGGAGAATTTGCTTGTTATACATTTCCACGTGATTAGGCACTTCATTGATCTATCACTAATGGCCAGGTTGCTTCTGAAAAAGAGCTGTATAGCTCCGTATGCTTTACCTGGTAAAACATATATGTACATAAACACCGGCATAGCACGTGCATTTACCGTGCACAGATTGTAATGAACATATTTCTGCGAGTGTTATGTTGCGTCACGTCATGAGCGTAAGAATTGAAAAAATTATAAATGTGTTTTTTACGTCCCAAACGAACCAACCCACGAGCTTAACTCCTCGCTCTCGTACTGACCCTACCTTTGCTGCCTCGCTTGGCTCTCAAGGCTTTCAGCAGTTGACGACCCACTGTGTCTCCCTCTCCTCGTTTTTTCTTTCTGACCATCACGAAAGCCTTTCTTTCCTCCACATTTGCCCAATACTCTTTGCCTGCTGGCCCCACATTAATTATTTTGGTTAAGCATGAAAAAAAACTCTTATTTTCCCTAGCCCACTGGCAGAGCTAGTGGGGGGGGGGGCGGGGGGGGGTGGCACGTGGCCCCCCAATGATCCGATCTAAATCCCCAATTTCGATCAAATCATTGGGGTTTATTAGTAATACATTGGCATTTTACGACCCCCACTGCCATTGTGTAGCATATTATTATGTGCCAGGGACTCTGAGATGATAGGACAATAGTCTGAGTCCATAATTGACAATAAGTAACGGCAAAGCGGTTATAAGTGACTCACAGAATTGTGCGCAGTTGCGTATAGAGTACACGACTTCCCTGAAGGCATTCACCTTCAGCGAGCGAGATGCTGATCACACACGGTTCGAATTCGACCCTCGATGGATGGCTGTGCCATCGCCGCACACGCGTCGAATAAAAAGCAAGGGGGACAAGTCCTTACTTACTAGCAACTCCTCTATCATTTTTCATTGCTGAAGGGGTTGCCCCCCCTACCTGAAAATCCTGGCTCTGCCATTGCCCCAGCCGGTATTCCACACCAATCATAGCTGCCACGGTGCACATGTAGTCACCCATCTCTGTACAGCGTCTTGAGATAAATTTCTGTACAGACACATGAATGTGAGGTGTGTTGTGAGAACGATGGGCCTGAGATGGTAGTCATTACGACTCGCATTCCAGATGCCAGGATTGTTTCTTACCGGGTCGTGCTCGTGTCTCTAATGTGAAGAAACAGGTGGTCTGGGCAGCAGTAATGCCCGTGTTAATTTACGGGTCAGAGGGCCGCGTTTTTAACAGAACAATACAATGGGGAGCGCCTCGCCTGTGCGCGTGGAATATAAGTGCACGGGGAGGGATGCTAGTAATTTAATGGAAGGATACGGTTGGTAACTTGGGAACTTGGAAAATAATATAGCGGGCGCAATTAAGGGAAAGGGAAGTTGCACGTGGCCAGGATGGAGTGGGGCGCGGATCACCGGACGGGCGTTGGAGTGGCACCCAAAGGTCAGTGACCAAGAGGGAAGCCGAAAGCCAGATGGTGAGGTAGCCATGAGACTGGCCTGAGCTGGGAGTGCAGGTGTCGGACTCTGCAACCAGTTTTCGGCTCTGGCAGAAGGAAAAAGCGCCACGGTGCTAACTGCCTCGCTTGGTATATAGGAGGTCGTTGGTTAGATCCCAAACCTGCCTGTTGCCTCTATATTTTGAGTTTGTGTGTCTTTCTCTCCATGGTCGCGTGGAGTTTTCTCCGGGTCCTCCGGTTCTTCCCTCCACATTTAGAAACATGCGTTTAGATCATTTGGCTGCTATAGATTTCCACATGATAAGGGCGCTTCGTTGAGCTATCATTTGCGACCAGGTCGCTTCTGACAAAGCTCTATAGCTCAATGGGCCTTTCCTGGTAAAATAAAAAAAAATTGTTTAGAGAGAAGCAATGATGGTGACATGGCCGACATTAGCTACGCCAAAATCTTTTTTACCGTTGTAGAAAACGATCCGTGCTGGGTTTATACCCCCTTGGTATCTCGCAGCGGCACACCAGCGCTCCCAGGAGCCGTATTCAATGGAGGTCGGAGTCAAAACGGATGGATGGCACGAGGCGAGTGACTGAGTCGCCTGGATTTGATTGAATTGTTGCGAGTCAGAGTCGCAGTTCGATTCGATCGTCAATCTTCTCTCGTTTTGCTGCTTCCTTAAGTTCATTTGTTCTGTTTTGTTTGTGCCGTTTTGCTTAAATGCAATCGATTCTCACGTGCACAATTTCGTGCATGTATCGGGAGAATAAAAGTTTAATTTCATCACTGAATTGTAAAAAGCCTAGGTGTTTCACAGACTGATCAACGACTTGAGAAGGTTGCTGTTGCTTCCAAGTTAAAAATGCAAAGGCTAACACTCGCCTGCCTTGCCCGTGACGTTCCCCTTCACGTGTGTTTATCTCCCATCAACCTGTAGCAGAAACATTTTTATATGGATTCTTCAAACCTGTTATTCCCCCAAATTGCTTGTTTTAACTGGGGGAGAGGCATTGTGGCTGGAACAAGCCGAGTATTACAAGTCGTGTGGTATGCAGATTTAAGAGCGTGCCTTAACTTTTACACCGGCTTTTAGTTAAAAAGACCCTCAGCAGTTAGCAATTACTGTAAATTGACCCCCATACACTACTTAAGAGCTCAACTCGGACGTTTATTTGTATTGCAAAGATAAAGATTGCCTGTCGAGCTATGTAGTCTGCTGGGGCAAGTGCTGTTAGCGAGCACCAGTTAAAGCCAGTGTGACGCATGCACGGCACATTTACACACTACTCCAGGCACTCATTTATTTATCTTTATTGCGAGTCAACTCTAAGGAAGCGCACGACTGGTTCAGATGTTACTCGCCACTGATGTCGGCTGCGGATTTGGCATTAAACTCGTACCGTGTGCTCACAGCTGCGCGACTGCTTTATGCAGTAGATGCGCTCCGAATAAAGGGTGCACAAAGAAATTGCGTAGTATACAAGGCAGTCGCCCAACTCATAATGCACCACACGAGTTGCCTGTCGAGTAGCGAATACAGTTCACTGCACAATGTTGTTGTGCGTCCGACTGCATAGCCGCAGGTGAGTGAATTCAAATTTTGGTAGAAGTAGATTAGCTGCATAAGCAGCGCGAAATCGCGCAAACCAAACCTGCGTAGAGCGAGGGAAAACCTGCACTTTTATTGTACACTCGCACGCAGAAGTACACGCAAAGGGTAGCAAAAATATTTTTAAATCGGAATGTAAAAATCATGTACTCGCACTTATTTTCGGTGGCTGTTCATGTTGTTTATTGCGATGCCCTGTTGTCGGTGGCTACCGCTTACGTTTGAAGTCAAGTGGGATTTCAGCAGTTCGGGAGAGAGAATGGCCCACGCCATCGTGTGATGTGGAATTTCAACCACTGGCTTGGAGCCACGAATGAGGATGAGCACACTCGCACACTTATTGGAGCAAGGCGATGATTTATTTTTTTCTGTTACCACTGCGCTGATTGTGATAATAAGTTTTGGCCATTCCATATGAACAAGTCCTGGGCCTCCCCTAGGGTTTAGAAAAGCAACTTTTTTTTCAGTTTTGTTCTGCTTATTTTTTTAGTTTTTAGTCTTCAGCATGAAGATTGTCAAGTCTTTCCAACTTCACACTACGTTTGCATCCTAAATCGTGTTTCTCAGCTGCGCCACAGCTGCCTCTGACTTGAAAACTGCACGTGTGTCCTAGAAGCTTTGGTTACGGAAACCAAAGAACAGCAGACTGGCAATCGTTTGCGATTGTTACGTGCATTTTTTTACATTCTGAAATGACCCCTTTTTCTGATTTGCTTTTGCTTAAATAATTAGTTTCCCCTAATTAACAAGAATATTCAGCCCGCATACTTTGCTTTTCCTGCACTGACTGTGCAGCGAGGGAAACGCGCTTCTAAATGCAAACAGCTTAATGTTCCTGGGCTCTCGGTCGGCCAGCGGTGGTGGTGGTGGTGGTCGCGGCATTAGCGGCAACGGTAGCAGCCGTTGTAGCAGCGGTGTGCGCACGCACTAACGCGTTAATTAGGCGTGAGTCATGCGTGCCGGGCAAGGCTGTGGGTCCCTGCGTGCGCCCGTAATGCGCCCCGGCGTGAAACCAAACTCTTCATCAGAGAGCGCGGGCGAACGGTGCGCGCGCTCGCCGAAACGTGAGCCGCGGCGCTCGAGAGGGTGGGGCCGGCACACGGGATCGCGTTACCGACGCCGTCGACAGCCTGGGGTCGTGGAGATCGTGGGGGGGGGGGGTCATGGAGATCGGGGGGGGGGGGTCGTCGGGATGGGGGGGGGGTCGTGGAGATGGAGGGGGGGGTCGTGGAGATGCCCCCCCTCTGGCCCCACCTGCCCCCTCTGCCTCCCTTTGCCCCCCCTGCCCCCCCCTGCCCTCCCGCCCTGCCCCTCCGGCCCCCCCTGCCTCTCCCATCTCTGCCCCCCCGCCGTGCTCCTTTTACGGCTCCCATGTCGGCCATCGCGAGGCATTATCGTTACAGATCCTCGCGGTTTACTGCGATGTAATATCAGCGAGAACACAATACGCAAATTGGCGTCAGTGGTTCGGGGCATATCAAACCTTGGCTAATGATAATAACGGATTTTGTTTAAGGATATTTACGGGGTTTTTAATATATACTTTTTACTTTTAGGCAGTCTTTTACTTGATTTGAATCTGTATAATCGGCAATAGTAAATAAATAATGTATCCACCGAGGTGCCAATGTGGTTAGTAATCCATAAGAGGTTTTTTGGGTGAGAT